GACAATACCTTCCATTCTGGTCTGCAGGCGAGACATTAGGAATTATCCTTGACACTTCATCTCTTATCACCACACCGACCCTATCACCAGGTCCACTTGGTTTTCCCAATATATAGGGTGATTGCATTCAAGTGCGAACACTTTTATATTATTTTTTTAAAGATTTATTTATTTATGCATACAAAAGCCGGGGCACAGGCCAGAGATGCAGTGGGTGAGTAGACCAACCAGAGACTGAGTGGGGAACAGAACAGACTTACTGAAACACACTGCTGAGGGGAGCAGTGGGCGAGGCAGGGGAGGTCTGCTGTGCCATGTGGGTAGCTCCCTGGCTGGCCAGGGATCGAACACGTGCTGCAGAGTCTGAGGATTGCTTCGTAGTGCTGTGCTTAACTCCTTGTGCCAACAAGGAGGCCCCAAAATGCGAACACTTTTGAGAATAAAAAAGGGTACAATTAATCATGCTAGGGCCACAGAGACCTGTAAGATTTCCTACTACCTAAGTCCTGGTTTCTCTCCTTGTCCACTACTACCATCAACCCCTAATGTCCAGTCTTGTGTCTCTGTCATCCCAATGGCCCCTTAAGTTGCTGATGATCCTGGATGGACACCTACGTTGACCCTTGGCTCCATACTGCACAGAAGACCAGGAAGGAAGGATAACTGTTTCTGACTCAGCATGCCTGAGAGCCACCCCAAGATCTCGTACACTCAGATTGCTCAGCTCTACCCAAACTTTCTGATTCAAGAGGTCTGGGAAAGAATCCCCAAACTGCATTTCTAGGATATTCCTCAGTGACACCCGAATTTGAGAAGCCTTGGCCTATTGTATGGATGATCCCTGCCAACAGAGGGCAGGGGCCAGGGCACTTAAGGGCACCAGGGACTGGGGGCAGATGGTGTGAGTGCAGATCCTAGTTCTGCCATTTATTGGTGAAATCATCTCAGACAAGTTGTTCACTTCTCTGCACATACAGATGTTTCCACATCTGTAACATGGAGATGATGATAACAGTGGCGGAGTTAAAAGATGCAAAGTGTTTAAGCCATGCCTGGCACAGAGTGAGCACTTGGCTATCATTTACATATTAAATAAAATACAAGTTCTGGAAATGGAAAAAAATGGCCAGGACTTTCTAGCTATGTGACCTTGTAAGTCAGTATAACGGCAGGAATGGACACGGTGCAGGTTTTCTGATCCAGCAGACCGGGTAAAGGAGGAGTCAGAGTCCTCAGTGGTTTTTTGCAGGTCTTTTATTGGTGTTCACCGGGCATGTGGCAGGCAGGGGCGCTGGCTGGGCCTCCCAGCCCCCAGCAAGTCTTCACTCTATCTGGGCTCTCTGGCGTTCGTTCTGCTGCTTCTCGGCTTCTCTTTCGGCTTCTCCAGCTTCTGCTGCTTCTCGGCTTCTTCTACTGGCATCCCCGTGACGCCGCCCTTAAAAAGCACAGTCTTAGCGCAGGTGTACCCACTTCAGGTGCCCGCCATCAGGCATGCATTCAGGATCACAGGGTTCCCTCATCTATCCTGATGTCGGGAGGGCAGAAAAGCCTGATACCTTTTACCTTACCCTACAGTCAGTTAACCATTCTGAGCTTCAGCTTTATTTGCAAAACAAGGTTAAAAACTATACCTGTTTTGTAGTATTCTCATTATACTAATATGTCACTTATTAACTCTTGGCAAAAGATCCTCTTAACCATGTTACTGCATACAGGTTTTGATTCGGTGGGTAACGCTGCCCTCTGCTGGACAATTTTTAAAATTGGTTGCTCTCAACTTCCTCATCTCATCAAGCAAAAACTTCAAGTTTATTTACTCTGAACAATTTTCTTTGGTTGCCGCCAGAAAACATGATATAAGTCATTGTCAGTTTACATGGCTTTCCTCACATGGTGAACTAATGATCAATTGGCAACTTTGCTTGCAGCCTAGTTTCTAAATTTTTAGAAGAGGAAATGTGTTTAAATATCGCTGTTTAGGACCTCCCTGGTGTACAGATGTTGCTTGTTTAACTGATCTCCTAAAAGGATAAGCACCCCACAACACATTTGGGGCTAGTTAGGCTACCTGTTATATCACAAGATCCCCATCAATGTCTCAAACATCCAGGAAGGCAGGAGCAGCCCCTCCTCCCACTACCTCCCTTCAAATGTTTCAAAGAAATCATTGCGGGGGCGGGGGGTGGGCACTGGGTGCTCCATCCAGTCAGTACTTTCTAACCTGTTCTCCTGTTTAACAAAGTGGCCTTTCCTTCCCAGCAATGGGTCTTAGTCCCTCCAAGATTCCTCCCAAAGGGTGTCCAAGCAAGGGAAGGCTTCAGGGGCTCAGGGGCACAGAGGCTGGAGCAGGAAGACTGGCTCCAACCAGACTCTGAGAGCAGATCAGACCCAGAGGCAGGTTATTTGCTCTATCTACTTCGAAAGCATACCTTGTTTCCAGGAACAACAAAAAAAGTAAGTACTGAGCTATGCTTTGTGCTGTGTAAAGACATTGTGTCACCTATGAAATTTTAAGAGGGTAAGTTATAAATTGTTAACAGATATGGACTGATATTAATAATTTAGTCGTGCTAAAATAATCATTTTATTTGTCACATTTTACTACAATGGTGAAACAGATAAATGGAAATGCTTACACCTGTTTAAAATGACTGTTTTGGAATCCAGATTTCCCAGATGACTGAAATGTGCTGAATCTCATTTACTATTCCTTCAGTAGCTTTCAACATATTTTAAGCATAATTTTATTTTTACTCATGTCAGTTTGAATTCAATTTGGAAATATTTTAGTGTAAAATCATGTTTTTTTTTTGTTTGTTTGTTTTGTTTTTCTGTGGAACCCTCGCTGGTAGCCGGGGAACTAACTGGAGCTGCCTTCGCAGCCCTGTGCTCAACCGCTGTGCCACCAGGGGAGGCCCTAAAATCATGTATTCTTAACAAAATTATCATCTCAATAGAAAAAACTCTCCACAAAGTGGGTATAGAGAGAACACATTTCAATATAAAACAAGGCCATAGCTAATTTCATCCTCAATGGTGAAAAGCTGAAAGATTAGAAACATGATAAGAATGGTCACATTCATCACTTTTACTCAACACAGTGTTGGAATTCTCACCCAGAACAATTAAGGAAGAAAAAGAAATAAAAGACATACCATAAAGGAAGAAGTAAAAGAGTCACTATTTGCACATGACATCATATATATAGAAAATGTTAAGAACGATACCAACAAAAACTGTTAGAACTAATGACATGATTTTAATAAAGGTGCAGGCTACAAAATCAATATACAAAAATCTGTTGCATTTCTTTACACGAATAATGTACAATTATACCAAAAAGATTAAAATAACTTGGAATAAATTTAACCAAGAAGGTGAAAGACCTGTACTGATATAGAAGTTGGAGAGGAAAAATGAAAGTTTTTTCATTTCCATGGGTTGAAAGTATCAATACTGCTAAAATTTCCATAGCATCCAAAGTAATCTACATATTCAGGTCAATCTCTATCAAAATTCCAATGGCATTTTTCACTGAAATGAAACAGGCAATACTCACATTAGTTTGGAACCATGAAAGACCCCAAATAACCAAAGAACAAAACTGGAAGTATCATGCTTCTGATTTCAAATTATATTACAAAGCCATAAAAATCAAAATAGTATGGTATTGGCTTAAAAACAGCCATAGATCATTTTAACAGAGTATTGAGTCCAGAAATTAACTTGTGTATATATGGCTGATTAATATATGATAAAGGAGTCAAGAATATATAATGGGAACAGTAGTCTCTTCAAAAAATGGTGTTGAAAATTGGGAAGTTGCATGCAAAAGAATGAAAATGGACCACCATCTTTCACCACAGGGCAAAATTAACCCACAGTAGATTGAAGACTTGAATGTTAAGACCTGAAACCATAAAACTCCCAGAAGTAAAGATAAGTATGTAAATTCCTTGACATCAGACTTGGTAATGGTTTTCTGACACCAAAAGCAAAGGCAACAAAAACAAGTGGCACTATATCAAATTATCAATTGTCAGCAAATAGTCAACAAAATGAAAATAATAATGTATATTAAATATATTTTATAAGGAATTAAAATAGTAGGGTAGGGATGCAAAAAGCAGAGGATCACTTAGTGGAAAAGAATAGAAAACCCAGAAGCAGAAAAGTGTATTTCAGAATTTAATGTTAGATAAAGTATTTTAAACCAGGTCAGAAAACATGGATTGTTTGGGACAAGTGAAACCCATTTTTAAAAGTTTTAAATGTTACATTACGCTCTAAAAGAAGTATCAAGTTAGAGATTTAATTCGATAAAATAAATGCAAAACAATAAAGTAAAAAAGAAAAAAAAAAACGAGTAATGCTGGGCCCAATGGGAGAGTTGAGGCATTCAGAAATGCATTTTCACTTCATCTGAAATACGTGCACTGATTTCTCCTAAATTTGCACTTGATGACGTACAGTGCCACAACCTCTGGAACCATGAAAACAAACAGCTTTCTGTTTCCTGTTGTTGTATTTGTTAAATTCCACGAAGATGTCCTGGGCCCTGGGTGATGGAGAAGAGAAATAAGCTGAGGAGCAAGCATATTTAGAACTATTTTAGAGGAGCTTTCCGGGGAACGAGACCTTAAGCATCTTTAAAGTCCACGACAGTCGCCGACGCCACCGTCTTCAGACGCCAACCCCGCGCCGCCAGCCGGCCGTCGCCGAGATTTGAGACGCAGTGCCCTCGCGCACGCGCACTGCTCACCCTCTGGGAGCTTCCCCTCGGTGCGCAGGCGCAGTGACGCCATTTTTCCGAGGCGCGCCCGCGCAGTTGCGTGTGGCGTCGTTGCTTGGCTACCGCTAGCCTAGTCCCAAAGATTTAAATCCGCCGCCGCCCGGGCTGCGGCGACCGCCGCGGCGAGAGCCGGTTGGCTTCTCTGTGGACGGGAATTGAGCTCGGGGGCCGGAGGAAAGCCACGGCGGCGGCGAGGAGTTTCTGACGCGATGAAGAAGATTTTTGGCTTTCGGAGCGGGAAGGGCGCGTGGCGCCGGGGCTCCTCCACCAGCCCGCAGAGCGGCGCCGCGGGGTCCAGGCCGTCGCCCCGAGGCCGCCCGGGTCCTGCGCCCGCGCCCGGGCCCTCGGGAAGATCCACCGGGCCGCGAGCGCGGGCGACTTGGCCGCGGGGCAGCAGCTGCTTCTGCTGGGGAAAAACGGCGTGAACGATCGGGCAGGATGTCCAGGCCACGGGGCAGCGGGCCGGCTCCGGGGCGGGAGGACCCGGGAGACGCGCGCACGTTCGCGGCCCGGCGGGGCCCGGCCTGTCCCCGCGGGCCCGGCCGTCCTCGCGCCGACGCTCGGCAGCCGCTGGCCCTGGAGCCGCCGCGGGGCCGCGCCCGCCCGTGGGGGAGAACAGCCCCGCCGGCGCTCGCGCCCTTTGCGTCCACTCAAAACTACCTTTACTGACAATTTTAGAAAGATGCAGCTAGTATCAGTTATAAGAGTCGTGTGCAACATTTTATTTTTGCTGTTTGCATTTTCATGCCATCACACTCCATACTGTAGAAAAGCGCAGAATGAGAGCGACCGTTCCCATCCTAGAGCAACGCCCAGGCTAGACGCGCTTCGGATGAACTCCAGGACCCACCTGGTACCAGTCTGTACCTATTTCTATATATTCTTATGGAGCGACCTTCAAAGGAAACTTTGAAGGGGGAAGATGGCCCTGGGTTCTTGAACAGAAAATGTCATTTTCTCTAAGTGCGAGTTCTTCCTGGTATTTATCAATTTTATATAAACCAAACAAAAAAAATAAGGTTTTAAAAAATTTGAGTTACATATGCTGTCTTTTACTGTTGTGATGAAACTTACAAAAGGTTTGTAAGATAGACAAAAGCTTGCCTTCTGGATATCAAAATGTGGTATAAATTTCCACTAACTAGTAATTGGTTCACAACTGAAAATACACATAAATAAATGGAACAGGATAGAAGATGCCCAAACATCCAAATGCATGTGAATTTACTGGTGAAATATTATAATGGTGAAATACCAGCTAATTGTGTTTGGAAGAAACTAACTAGATTTTTTAATCTCATAAAAATAAGTTCCAGATCAAATAGAAATTAAAAATGTTAAATATACAAAACTAGAAAAGCACCAGAAGGAAACACAAATGTGTATTTGTTCATTTTTTATGTTGTCCAGGACCTTCCTAAGAATGACTTCAAGAGGAAGAAGTTCGATTCAGTAACATAAAAAATTAAAGCTCTCTATATATCAAATCATATTAACAAAATAAAAATGTCTACAGCATATCTGTATCAGATGAAAAATATGTCTTCATTTTAAAGAATTCTTTGAAATCAACAAGAAGGAAACTAATGTGAAGATTGGGCAGATTTATTTTTGCATATCTGGTCACCAGTGGACATGGGAAAAAATATTTAGTGTCCCGGGTAGGAAATGAATTTAAGTTAATAGATGAGCAAAATCACCTTTTCCATCCGCAGAGTTTGTGATGATGAGGAGCTGTGGTTCTTACACAGTTGCTTAAAGTTTAAGCTGCTTTTGATTTTTCAGTAGGCAACTTGGTGATAACTAACACATGTACAAATATTTATTTTCCTTTTACTTATGTGTATTCTAAAAATATCTTTAGGAAGTTGAGACCTATAATGTACAATTTTTTTCTAGTGCTGCTTAAAATAGCAATGTATTAAGAAAAACTCATAACAGAGTTTATAATTACAGTGCGCCCATAATCTAGAGTATGACCTTTGAAAGTGGCATCCACATAGATGTGTGTTCACAATCAAAGATGTACTTTAGTAGATCATTTTGATCTACATTCACTTGGATTACACATACACATAGACTGTAGTGTAGTGTTAGCCAAAAACATGTACAAGATGTGATAAAATGTTATTTTTGAGCTTTTGTATTTTAAGTGAATTTTTCTTTTTTTAAAAAGTGTGTGATTTCTATGTGGAACATGTATAAAAATTCTAATGAGTTTATTATTAATGAAATATTCCTGGGGAAGAGCAGACATGAATTTTGCAGAGATTTCATTTTTTTACATTTTTTCTTGAAGGACTGATATCTTCTGATAACTTTTGACCTTTCAGAAGTAAATAGAATCTTTTTATATGTGCTTGTAGATTTTATTTAGCATACACTTAATTATATACATTTTTTTTATTATATAGCTTTATTTTAATTTGTAAACAATTTTTAGTTGTGTATGAATGTAAAAATAGTAAACATAAATGATGATTATCATTTCTTTGAAGATTTTGAACAAACTGCACCCTCAGCTCTTTTACACACTTAACCTGTACATTGTTTAAACCTATTGTTCTGAATTCCCAGTTTATAATGCAAGGATACAGGTAGACTTTGCTTCGATAACTTGAAAGTGTATAGTGTATTAGAGATCTTGGGGAACTTTACTAGAGCTGTTAATGGAGATTATATATAGGTAAATATATACTTATATATGCATGTGTATGTGTGTATATATGTATATGATCTATTTTGAATTCTCCATCTACATTTATCCATTCTTTTTGTTCATCAGATATAGCTTGAATACCTGTTATATAGCAGATGTATTCTACTACCTCCCAGGACTCTTTTTCATCCTTAGAAACTAAATGTTGCCCAGCCTAAGTTATGAAATTTAAAACTGAAGAATGTATTAAGACCTAATCTCATTTGAGGCTTTTTCTCCATCCTTTCAAACAAAAGCATTTTGGAGGGTAGGAAGTTGTAAAAGATAACTTTTACTTGCTCTTTTGAAAATTTATAGTAGTATTAAGTGCTAATGTTAATTATTGGAAAGGTCTGATTTTTCACACCATCCCTGACTCAAAATAATTGAATAAATGAGCTATCCATATTCATGCAAATGTTCAGTTTCCTTTGACTTAAAGTTTCCTGAAAATTGAAGTAAGATTGACTTTTTAAAAATATGCTTTTGTTTTGCTATTTAGTCCCCTTTCTCCAGAATTTTTAAAAGAACTATAATTTAGTTAAATGCCAACCATGTGATTAGAACTGCAACGTGAATATGCTGTACCTCACTGTGGATTGTGTAATGCCCCTCTATCTTATGTACCAAAGACATATTTTTTTAACTGCCTCAGTTATAATTGTAAGACATTATGAATTATAAATTGCATTCCAGTGTCAGGGGTAAAATGTGAGAAAGTGTGCATCTTAGAATCATTAAAGTGCAGTGCTCTCTTTAATCTTAAAACATACTGCAAAGTAGGTATATTTGTATTATTTTTCTTAGTTTAAATGTCTTTGTAAAGTGGTGTAATGGCAATAAATAGAGTAATACTATCTAACAATACTGAGTTGCTTTTTACTGCAGGGATTGTTTAGAACACTTTGAAAGATTGTAACTTAAGCATCACAACAGTGCCTGTGAGACAATTCCTTTTCATCCCCATTTTATTCAAGAGAAAATGAGGCATGGAGAGGCTGAGCAATAGCTAATAAGTGACAGAGCAAAGTAGGATTCAAACCCAAAGTGAGCTGAATCCACACTCTAACTAGTCAAATGAACTGCTCTTTCACTACTGTGATGAGCAATAAGGGCTAATAATGTTGTACTTTACAATGGGCATGTGTTTAAAGACATGGGAATTTTGGCATTTAATGTTTACAGTTTTGAGTTAGTACACTATAATTTCCTAAAAAGCCTTCTCACTTTCATAGGACTGCTCTCCATTTGGCCTGTGCCAATGGCCATCGAGAAGTGGTAACTCTCCTCGTAGAGAGAAAATGCCAGCTTAACCTCTGTGACAGTGAAAACAGGACAGCCCTGATGAAGGTAGGTGGTAGCCAACTGTGTCAGTATGAAATGGACTTAATTAATACAATAAACATGAATTTATCTCATTTAAATAAAACTAATGGGTGAAATGTTTACTTTGAATTCCTAGAATTGACTATCTATTTCTTGTTCTAACACTGACAGGCAGTACAATGCCAGCAAGAGGAGTGTGCAGCCATTCTGCTGGAGCATGGTGCTGATCCAGACCTCATGGACATGGACGGCAACACTGCTCTGCACTATGCTGTGCGGGGTCAGAATGCAGCCGTCGTAGCCAAGCTGCTGGCACACAACGCAGATGTTGAAGCCAGAAACAAGGTCTAGACCAACCAACTTTATTTACAAACTATTTGTAGTACTGTTGTGTCGACAACTCCTCACTGACCAACGGGAGTCGTAGAGCAAACTGTCCAGTGCAGGATGTTGCTGAAAGAGCAAGCTCCTGGCCTTTTATTGATAGAATAATAATACAGCATCATTTGTGTGGGATAGGAGAACAAGGAAAAAGGATGGGTGAAACTGAACAAATGTGCATATGTATCCAGGGTTTCCGGGGGAAGGCAAGTCTGCTGACAAGTGTATTTTTTTATCCACTTGGTGACTCAGTATTGAGATGGAAACTGTACCTCAGTCCCCCTACTCCTGGTTCCAATCTTATTGATAAGACCTTCAGCTTATCAGTCTCTGGGAGGGCAGGGTTATGCATCAGTCAGTGGCCCTGTGCTCGAGTTCCTAGTCATACCTTGTGATTCATACTCATTGTTCCGGGATGATCAAACATCCTGCTCCTGTTGAATATGAAAAGAGCCTTGTAGGGTCTGACAGTCCTACATTCTTTCAAATAATTAATTGACTGGTCTGGACTGACCTTGTATTTTTTTTTTCCTGACCTTTTATTTGAATGCAGAACTGCACATAACCAAGATGGTGGCTGAGCAGGCCTTTTAAATCTAGGAGACCCACAAAGTACATGTGTTTTGTGTTTTTTTTAAACCACAAAACATTTCATGCATTGCCATGGAAACAACTCTAAAGCCATGTGAGGGTTGTGTCCTCCAGCTTGATCTGTCCCTACTTGGTTCTTCACTTACTGGGTCACCTACTTTGCTTCCATTAGCACTGAGCTTACAGTGCTTGTTTTGTTGTGTATTTTTTTTTTTTTTTTAAAGATTTATTTATTTAGGGCCTTCCCTGGTGGCGCAGCAGCGATAGTGCCCTGGGCTGCGAAGCTGCCCGCAGCCTCTGCAGCACCGGTTCGATCCCTGGCTGCTGGCGAGGGTCCCACATGGTGCGCAGACCTCTCCTGCCACGCCTGCTGCTCCCCTCAGCAGTGTATTTTGTCGGTCTACCTGTTCTGTTCCCCGCTCTGGCTCTGGTGAATTCTCTCACCCTCCCGCTCTTCTGACTGTACCCAATGCTTATATAAATAAATAAAATAAATCTTTAAAAAAAAAAGATTTATTTATTTATACAAGAACCGGGGTACAGGACAGATGCGCGGGAGGGTGAGAGGATTCACCAGAGACAAAATGGGGAATAGAACAGGCAGACTGACGAAATACACTGCTGAGGGGAGCAGCAGGCCAGTCAGGAGAGGTCTGCCGCGCCATGTGGGACCCTCGCTGGCTGGCCAGGATTGAACCTGCGCTGCAGAGGCTGCAGACAGCTTCTCAGCGCGATGCTCAACCGCCTGCGTCACCAGGGGAGGCCCTTGTGTATTTTGATGAAGATTTCAAGATTTGAAGACCGTCTTATCAATTTATAGTATGTTTCATATTTTTGTTAATCTCTTATAAATGAGTTTGAGTGTTTCAAATTAAAATTTCTCAGTGTTTTTAAGAAGTATACTTACATGTACTCTAAATAATCATATTGTCAATCAAATTTCTACCAGCCTTGTTAGGTTAATCACAGTTGAATAGATTATGCATATTGCACATAACATTTTATCTTTCTCCTCAGTATTCATCCTTAAAAAAGTGCAAGTGATTTAGTAGCTTTTATTTTGCTAAAATAACCCAAATAGGTCATTATTAGAATTTTTGTTGGTAAGCCATTGTATTTTTATTTCTAATTAATATTTCATATACAATAGAAAGTGATTTTAAGTAGGAATTAAAAATGGAAATCAGAATAAAAGTGGATTTTTTAAAAAGTACATATGTATTAAGGTTTCAGAATTACTATAATTGATAATAAAATTACATACTGAGCTTTCTGACAGCTAAGATAAAAACTTACTAGCTTGTAATAAGGGAAGCCCCATTGGGCCATTTAATAATAAGCAATCAAATTTCATTTGAAACCTGTATCTTTCATTCAGCGCCCATTTCCCTAGTGCCTGAAGGCGACATCTGGGATCTTGATGCCATTGAGGGAAGAGACCCACACAAGCTCATATTACCTGGAGAAATGCTTTTCCTTTAGTGGAAAATTCTCAAAACTATCACTGCAATTCCTAATTCCTCAAATGTTTGTGTTTGCCACAAAAAAAGTACTATCAAACAGGGATTAAGCAAAGTTAAACAGATTTCATTATCACTAGAGGTATAATGTTTTAAAATATTTCCAAATTGGGGCCTCCCTGGTGGTGCAAGGGTTGGGACGTGGCCTGTGAGGCTGTCCGCAGTCTCTGTGACGTGAGTTCGATCCCCAGCCGGCCGGGGGTGACCCACGTGGCGCAGCGCACCTCTCCTGGCTCGCTTGCTGCTCCCCTCAGCAGTGTACTTCGGTTGATCTGCCTGTTCTGTTCCCTGCTCTGTCTCTGGTGGGTCCTCTTACTCCCTACACCTCTGGCCGGTACCCCAGCTCTTGTATGTATAAATGAATAGATCTTTAAAAAAATAAAATATTTCCAAATAATAGATGATCACGGAATGTTTCCATTGGGGTGTATTCCTTAATTTCTGGTAAGGGTACATATTCTTTGGAATGTAATTTAAGAAACACTAGTCAAGAGATACTCAGCTTGATTATGAATGCAATAAAAATACTTAAAGCATTACTAGTATGTGTAAAGTTTGGCGATAGAGAAAAAAAATTAGCCTGTGCCCCCAAGAAGCTCTTGGTTTAGATGAGGATGGTTTAGATGAGGAATAATAAATTAAATACAATATACCATGGTAAAGGCTGTGATAGAAGTATGATTCTTGGAGACAGTAAAAGTTTGGAGTTTGCATTTATTGAAAAGATGGAGCAAGAGAAAAAGGAGGAGGAGCACATGAGAAATTACAGAGGTGTGAGAACAGATGGGTCACTTTTTCTTACATTCTGTATTACATATTTTAATTCATATTATCTATAAGTATTAAAATTCAGTTTAAAAATGTGTGACTTAGAAATTCTCAACTGTTTTTACTGTTTTACAGGATGACCTCACACTACTTTTATTTGCTTTAAGTGAAAACAAACAGCAAATGGTAGAATTGTTGGGAAGGAGGGAAGGAAATAGACATGCTGTAGATAACATTATAAGGTACAGTAATTTTTTTTTTGAACTTTAGTATTGTTTAGAGTGGTAACAGTCACTCAAATAAGAAGGATTAAATCATTAAGAGAATTAATTTATAATCCTGACATATATTGAAAAATATCAATAAGTCATCAGGAGGAAAAACAGTTATTCTGATGGGCAATATATAAAAGTATATAGCAAAATTTATTCCTTTTTAATGTTGCTGATATCATTTACAATCTGATTCTTTTAGTCCTATGATTAGCTAATGGAGTATTAGCTAATGGGGCTTCATATTTTGTAAATTGTGGACTCCAACTTTTAGTTTATGGTACAATTGACTTTCTTAACTTTTGTGGTATTTCTTTAACCTCTACTTAATATATATTTTCCTTTAAAGCTGCATTTGATGCATAACTAAGAGTTGATTTGGTTTCCATTCACCCTACTGCTGCAGTATAGCTAGTCTGCTATGCTGCTAACAGGCTGGTCCTGCTGGTCTGGTAATGATTGACCTTTGTTCCCAGGATAACCTTGCTGGTCCAGATTCCTCAGCCTTCATGGTGATCTGCATTTAGACTTCAAAGCTGCAATTTTTTAAAATTCCCTACATATGTTTCCGTCACTGCTTCAAAGCACTGACAGGTGGGCCTCCCAACTTTAGTCAAAGATAACCTTTCCCCTTCCTTCAAAACCCTTATGCCCAGACCGTCGCAGTAAGTTATCCTTCCAGGATCTTCTTTGATTTTCCCGCTAGTAGATATTAGTTGGGGCCATTCTAAGCTGTAGAGGGGTTCAAACAATGCTGCAGGAAGAGATGAGACTTTCCCTTCTCCTGTGTTACCAGATGTGTATGCTACTGCTGCTTTACGTCCTGTGACACCTTTTCTTGGTTGTGGAAAATCCCATATCATTCTGAGATAGTGGGTGCCAACATGCCTGAGATTCCACAATTAAGACTGAGCTCTCCAGTGATCTATTTCCTATACAAATGAAAATTCCCCTACGTGACTTATATTTATGTCAAATTTCAAATTATTTTCTGATTCTGCCTTAAAAGGAAGCCACTCAGCAGAAATCTCTAGATCTAAAGTAAGTTAGTTGACAATGGGAAAGCTAAGACCCATCCATGATTCACCAGTATCCATGAGTTATAAAAGTTAGATTATATTTTCCAAGTCAGTTAGAGATGAACATGGCAGTGAACACTATTCCAATAAAGATCTGCTGGTTCAGGGTTTGAGTAGGTAGAGAAGGACTAGTAGTAGTCAAAGCCAGGTTTGTCTTCTTAGTTTTCTGCTCTTGTTGTGATTAGCTAAATTATGATATTTAATGAGGTGACATTTATAATAAGTTTAGTTACAGATTTGTAACAGCTAAAACCTTGAGCTACAAACTACAAAGAAAGTCACTAATAACCCAAATTAATAACATTTTCTTGAAACTGCAACATTTCGTTGTCAGAACGTATGAAAAAACACACATTGAGATTTTGGGGGAATTCCAAAGTTGTTCCAGTGGTAAAGTTCAAGAACAAATTATTCTATTGCTTCACTATTTGTCTTATCATTTTCGGGAGGCCGTATCATCTCATTAAATCTTCTAATAATCTGATTGCCTTTAAAATAAGGCAATCAGATCCCCGTTTTATGGAGAAAGGTTTTGAGCTGAAGGGAAGTGACTTTGAAGCTGAAGGAAGGAAATAGCTGTTGGTTATAGAGCCTTGGACTCGTTCTGAGTTCAAGACGTCTTCCACTGTGTATGAGCTTCTGAGTTATACTGCCCTCATTTCACGACTGCTTCACCTTCCTCTTTTTTCTTCTTTAAATTATGGTTTTGGGGCCTCCCCAGTGGCACAGCAGTTGAGCGCTGGGTTGCGAAGCTGCCCGCAGCCTCTGCGGCGCTGGTTCGATCCCCGGCTGCTCCCCGGCCAACAGAGGAGGGTCCCACATGGCGCGCGGACCTCCCCTGCCGCCCGCTGCTCCCCTCGGCGGTGTACGTCGGTCCTTCTGCCTGCTCTGTTCCCCACTCTGGCTCTGGTGAGTTCTCTCCCATGCTTCTGACTGTACCCAGTGCATGTATAAACAAACAAACAAATAAATGAAATTAAAAAATTAAAAAATAAATAAATAAATTATGTTTTTTTTAAAAAGATTTATTTGTTTATACAAACACTGGGTACAGTTAGAAGCGCGGGAGGGTGAGAGAATTCACCAGAGCCAGAGCGGGGAACAGAACAGGCAGAAGGACCGAAGTACACTGCTGAGGGGAGCGGCAGGAGTGGCAGGAGAGGTCTGTTGCGCCATGTGGGATCCTTGCTGGTGGCCGGGGATCGAGCTGGTGCTGCAGAGGCTGTCGGCAGCTTCGTAGCCCAGCACTCAACTGCTGCGCCACCGGGGAGGCCCCTTTTAAATTACGTTTTGTAAAAATTTGTAGACCATACAAATTTGAAGTATACAGGATAATTATCCTTTTGATATTATATGAAACTACTGTTAAAATAGTAATATGATTATCACCTTTTTTTAATCACAGCAATCATCAACTAATTTCTCAATATGAAGAAGAAAAGAGACTTCATTCTTCTTCAGCAATTAGCATTCCAGGTAAGACTTTAGATAGTGAACGACTCTTGGTGTTCCTACTATAGGTAAAGAAAGAAAAAATAAGGGAGTTTTGATAATGAAAAAGATTAATGTGCTCAATTACACGTATATTAAGTTCTTCATAGTCTGGTTTTCACAATTGTTTAGAAAATTAATTGTAGATAATTTAAAATCTGAGACAATGTTGTCTTTCTGAAAAAAAAAGTCACTTATTTAGTTCCCATGGACCCTAAAATACCATATAACACCTTTTATAAAAAAGAAAAAGGTTATTAGTTAGTATGCTATATGTTCTTCCTAATAGCATCATAACAAATGGGACTTGTTTTAAAAATGATCTTTATTCAGTTTTTCCAACAAGTGGATTGCATATGTTAAATGTAAATTAATTATTACATCATGCTTTTTCTCACTAAAGAAGTAACTATATCTTGGGCCTCCCTGGTGGTGTAGGAGGTTGAGTGCAGCGCTGTGAGGCTGTCCGCAGCCTCTGCAGTACCTGTTGTCCTGCCAGTGGCAGAGATACCCACATGGCACTGCAGATCTCTCCTGTCTCTCCCGCTGCTCCCCTCAGCAGTGTATTTCAGTTGGTCTGCCTATTCTGTTCCTCCCTCTGTCCCTAGTGAATCCTCTCACCTCCCGCACACCTGGCCTCTACCTCGGTTCTTGTGTAAATAAATAAATCTTTAAAAAAAAAAAACTATATCTTTAAAACTGGAGGCTCAACAACACCTGTCAGGTACTCTAAATAGGTAGCAAACAAAAAAACTGCAAAACTTAGCCAGTGTGCACCAATACCAAGAAGAGATCTTTTATTTATTTATTTATTTTTATTTATATAAGAGCTGGGGTATAGGCCACATGCTTGGGAGGGTGAGAGGATTCACCAGAGACAGAGCCAGGAACAGAACAGGCAGACTGATGAAATACACAGCTGAAGGGAGCAGTGGGCAAGACAGGAGAGGTCTGCTCACCATGTGGGTTGCTCCGAGGCCGGCAGTGGGGATCGAACCAGCACTACAGAGGCTGCAGACAGCTTCACAGTGCTGCGCTCAACCGCCTGCGCCACCAGGGAGGTCCAAGAAGAGATCATTCTTAAGATGATCTATTGAGGGCCTCCCTGGTGGTGCAAGGGGTTAAGCAAAGCACTGTGAAGCTATCCTCAGCCTCTGCAGCACGAGTTTGATCCCCAGCCGGCCAGGGAGCTACCCTGACTCGCCCGCTGCTCCCCTCAGCAGTGTTTTTTCAGTCAGTCTGCCTATTCTGTTCCCCACTCTGTCTCTGGTGAATCTGCTCACCCCCTGCACTTCTGGCCTGTACCCAGTTATTATATGTATAAATAAATTTTTACCAATAAAAGATACCTATTGATAGGATAGAAGTCAAAAAAGTAGTAACAAAAGTTACTTGTTTTTGTTTTTGGTTGCTGCTTAATAAGTGCCAGATACTTTAAATTCTTGGTAAGGAATTTGAGTTTTTAAAAAGTGAGCAGTAGTGCAAAGACTTTGATACAGGAGTTAATTTTGCCGAATTCATAAGGTGTTCGCTTTGTTGGTATGAAAAGTGTGCTCTGGGAATGGCTGGGAAAGAGGTGAATAACTAGCGAGGGCAAGCTGATGACAGCCTGATGGTAGTATAAAGGAAGGACTCCTCCCCTGAACCCTGTGCACCTTTGGAAATTTATCAGGTAGAAGGCTTTTAGCAACAGTTAACAGGTGACTTAAATAACAGTGGCTGAAATGATAGGAATCAGGATTGTTTGGGGGTTCAGTGATATCATCAGGATTCCAGTTGTCCCTCTTTCAGTTGTGGGGTTGGGGGTGTTTTGTTTGTTCTCTTGCCTGGTTGGCTAATAGCAGTGATTCCAAGCATCATATTCTCCCATAACAATATCCAGAGGCTAAAAGGCTGCTTTTTTTCATGTGTCTCTTTTAAACAGGAAGTAAACTCAGAAGCTTGCAGTAGACTTCCCCTAACACTGTATTGGTTGGATTACATCATAAGCACACCCATAAACCAGTCACTGGTAAAGGAAACGTGGTTACTGTGATTAGCTCAGGACAATCATTTCTCTGTGGAACTGTGGAGGGGCTCCAACTCGAGATTCTTCAACAATAGCAAAGAGAATGAGAATGGTTGGCTATTAGGGAAGGTGCTAGCTCTGTTTGCCACAGGGATTCATTGAAGAATTTTCAGCATTAGAGTAACAAGCTTGGACTTGAGAGTTAGGGCACTGTGCTTATTGTATTTTAAAGCAGGAATTAGAGAGCTTTTCCTGTAAAGGCCTGTTACTAAATGTTTTAATCCATGTGGTCTTTGTCATGTCTGCTCAACTCTGCCATTCTAATGGGAAGCAGTCACAGGCCATAAGGGACTAGATATGACTGTGCTCCAATGAAGCTTTATTTTTAAAATCAGATGCAGGGTGGAGTTTGTCTGTGGGCCAGAGTTTGCTAACCCTTCATGTAAAGGTTGAAGGAAATCATAAAGAGATTGTGAGATAAGTTTTTTGGAGCTAGTATTAGTCCATTCTGAAGTTTTCACATATCCATGCTGAAATAAGCCAAGTCAGCAAGCTCAATTTATTCCATTTAAAATGTTGATTTTTTTTCATGGTGGGTGAGTGGTGATATATACAATTGGTGTTGTAAGATATTGTACCCTTGAAACTTCTACAGTTTTGGAAACTGTTACCTCATTAAAATAAAAAGGGGGAAAAGGTGGGTTTTCTAGGCTTTCTGTCTCAGTTGTTTTGCTCTAAAAATGTATTCATTATGAAATAACAGTAATTATTGTAGGTGGTTTTGGGCTTTAGTTTGCGCTTATTTCCTGTGCAAGCCATAAGGGAAGAGCCATGCTTGCCCAGAACAATAGAGTGGAAATGTAAAGGAGAGGCAGGTAAAGAACTTAGTGATTATTGAGTATAAAAAGTTAAGGGAGCTAGAGACCAATCCAAGATGATTCATAGGTTTCTGGGGTGAGCCCTAGCATTTACCTTGGACAAGAATGAGTAGGACTTTGTCTCATGAACAAAGAAGAACATCAGGTCAGCAGGGAAAACCAACATTTTTTCTTGGCTACTTGGATAATAGAAATTTCTAGCTGGAGCTAAAGCTCAAGGTTAGAGATACATATTTGAAATAATCTTACAGTAATTATAAGGCAGCATCATAGATCTGAATGAACTGTCTGTGATGAAGAACATATGGATTAAGGAGAAGGCCATTGACAATACCTTGGGAATACCAGCCTGAATGGATGGTCAAGGAAGTTAATAAAATGACTGAAGAATGGACTCAAGAACAATAGTAAGACAAGAATCAGGAAGCAATGTTGCAAACATTTTTTCAAATTGGAATTTTAAGGAGGAGAAGTATCACTTGTATCAAGTAAATATATTGAAGAGTAAGTTGGATTTAATTTTTAAAATCTCTTTGATAGTAATTTTTAAAAGAACAATTTTAGCATCCTAGAACGACTATTTAAATGACTGGTACATTCAATGTCCAAATATGGAAAAGTAATCATATCTACCAAGGTCATGACAACCTTTTTTGTAAGGATAATGCTACACATACACCTAGGGTTGGGGAAAGTGTGTCCTAGTGAGTACACATGCCAACATTTTCCATAATTGTCAAAACCTTGGGATACACCGTGAGAAAAATGATTGTCTTTCCTACTGGCTTTTTGTGGAAATGCTTGTGTTTTTCTCACATTCTGGATGCATTCTCCTGAAGGCATACTGAAATGAAAATTTGGCCAACACAACCTCAAGCCTCTATCAGACCCTAATTTATAGGGGGTCATAACACAACCATGTTTTGATAATTTCATGTTTTGATCAGATTTCCTCTACAGACCCACAGTTTGGAGACACTGGGATCTCCGAAATATTTTATTGCAGAAAGTTAATATACCAGGAGAAAATAATATTTCTGAATATACTAGTTCTCAGTTATTTGAGAATTCTCATGATATTAGTAAAAAGTCAGTCCCTGACTATTTTAGTGCTATGTCTCAGGATTCTCTTTTCATTTGCCTACTCTTTAGTGTTGCCTTCTAAATGTCATCCTGTGGAAAATTGTCTTGGAATCTACCACAATCAGAACACATGAAAACATATCTATGTTTGACAAAGGTGTACATTTCCTTTTTAGGTCATTGGTTACCTAACCAAACGTTTATCTCATAGTCTGTTAGTTTCTTATGGTGAATATCTTTGTATCTGTATCACAATCACAGAACTACTGATGATGGTCTGCCAGGATTAAAGTGTCTTCTGGATTATCAAACACAAAGTTTTATCTGGCATAGTTTTATTGTGAAGTGCTTTTTTGATATTACATTTTTTCAGAAATTGATCATCTGTGGCTTAACTAGATTATGTACTCAATTAGATTACCAAACTTTCCAACCATCCACATATAAGATAACTCACTCTCCCTCAGCCATCAATTCTGTTGATTGTAAATGATCAAGCTCACTGTGTACAGGGTGGAATAACAACTCATCCTACATTTTGGGTGCATTTTTCTTTTCCTTTTTTCATTTTGACTCGTTCTGTCAACAACTTCCTTTAATAAGTGAGTGGTGGTTTTTGTTTCATGAATTAAGAAAAAGTTTAGAAACAAAAACTATGTAACAAGTAGTACATTGTTATACTACCTGTGATAGTTATACATTTTTCCATAATTATTTCAGTGACCTATTTGATTCATAACTATTATAAAAAGGACTTAAACCCTGCATAGTTGGAGAAAATTGAGTGTGTTGTCTTCATAGCTTTCATGGTATAGGCCATTTTGCCAATTATCAGTGCTTTTAAAAATTCTGATTAAAATAGGATTGTTGCTTATTTCACATTCTTTTCTGACTTCGTTTCCTGTATCCCTTTTATGCCTTTCTTCAAACTGACAGAAGTACAGGAACCTGAAAGATAACAAGAAAAACAGAATCAAAGAAAGGTGTTCTGTGAAATAACCGTCTGATGATAATTG